TTAAATGTGCCTGGGACCGCTCTGGCACCAAAGCCAGATGGCGGAGAACAGGCCAAGTCCTCACTACTAAACTCTCTGCCAAGCAATGTGGCCCAGTGTTACCTGCCTCTGGAAACCGTCCCTGGCCCATAGCAGCTCCCAGCCACACTGGGAACAGTTTGAGGAGGGCCACGCGACCCACAGCAAGTCCCAGACCAAGACTGTTCCAGCAATGTAACGACGTAGCCTGGGGATGACCTTGGCTTTGGTGAATTTCCTACTACGGATATGTCCTGAGTGATGGAGGGCCGTGAAGCAGAGCCCTGTCCCACCTGGGGCAGGGACAGAGCAGATGGAGGGGATACAGCACGCGGGAGACTGCAAGTCGCTGAAAATACGAAGACGAAGGCAATGCACGGCTGTACTGCAGAAGGCAACACATGCCTCCAGGTGTGTAGAAGCCCTCCAGGTGGTAAAATCGTTGCTCAGAAATGACTGGGCAGCTTAGTACACTTTAACACAGCAATATCTCCCCGTTCCTTCTCCAGAGGTTTCCCATGTCTATAAAAAACAGCCACTGCTGTGTTAAGACTCTCCAAATTTTCTCATGTTTCTTGTTATAGCTTCTGAGCTGAACTGCAAGCCAAGATCCTCAGCAAGTTCAAGGAATTTTCATTAATCTTCCCTGGCTGTCAGTAAAGCCAAGCCAAAGATGTCTCCAGCTGTCAGAGCTATGGGCAGCTTCCAGGTAATACCCCAAAAGCACGCCCATGCCCATCACAGATGAACGACCACGCACGGACTTAGCTGCGGGAGGAGGGGGGCTGGAAGCCGATGGGTGCATTGATGGGCTCTGGCACAGTTTTGGGGGGCAGACTCAAGTTTCATGGAGGTTGGTCGAATAATCTCCCCCCAACTACCCGCTGAGCCAACTGAGAATGTGTCCACTTTAGCATCCTGGCTTCAGCACCCCACAAATGGCCTAAAAGGCAGCCGTGCAGGGTGGTGAGGACCTAGCAAGGGAGCCCACATCAAGGCTCAAGCCCCTGTTGAAACCAGCTGCCTACGTCCACGCTGGCATCCCGTGGCCGAGGGAGGACCATAGTGCTGGGAATCGGGGGACAGTGTTGGCTTGGTGGCCGGTCCCTGGGGTTCCTCCAGGTGAGGTCAAGCACGTGGCATCCTCGCTTGCAGTCCCGGCAGCTGGTGCTGCCCACGGTGGTGCAGGCCTTGGAGAACGCCTCGCGGAGCAACGCTGCGTGGGGGCGGCAGATGGCCTGGGAAGGAGAAGCCCTAAACATCTCCTCTCACTGGAGCAACTCGCCTGTTGGAGCTCACGAGAGGCTTGGGGAGGCAAACACACCCGGGAGCGCGGAAACGAGCAGAGAACAAGAGTATTAAGGGAACCCCAAACGTCTTTGCCTCTGACAAACCCAAAACCAGGCTTTTGCTTCTGCCCTAGTTTAGTTCTTCCCCTCCAGAAAGGAATATTTTAAAATACTTTGTGTTCATGCCCCCAGCATTAATCAAATACCATTTGTAGTCTGCTTCCCAGATCCCCCTGCATTTCCAGGTACGCTATCGCTCGCTGTTCTCTCTCCTGACCCCCCACGTGGTAGATACCCAGTGGCTCTGGCCTTTCACAACAGATGTCCAAGGGTCTGAAAAGTGCTTTAAGATCTTTCTTTTAATTAAAGGAGCTCTGCAGATATGCTATATTCATTTATATCTTTCTCTATTTTTTAATTTATTGCTATGTCAGCTATAAAAAAAAAAAAAAGCCCAAAGAAAAAAGAAACAGAGCTGACACAAGCTGAGCGCCTTTCGGGATGACTCACTGCATTACTGAAATGGCTGCTGGCTTCAGACTCTGCCTGCCTCTGCGCTTCGCTTCCAGGCTGCCGAAGAGAGTGCGGCGAGCGGCTTCTCCCCTCGTCTCTGCGTGGAGGATCTGCCATGTGGTTATCGACATAACCCCCCGCGGGCTTCGAGAGGAGGAGATATACCTTCTGCAAGGACCAAAGAAGAGGGGAAGACATGAAAGGAAGAGATAGCGAGGCGTTTCCAGCTGACCTGATTTTCTGCCTGTTTCCATCTGCCCATCGCTGCGAGTTCGCTCAGAACGCGTGGAGCCGGCCGGCGCCGCACCATCCAAGATGGCCCTGACATGGGAGTCTCTCTCCGCTGCCGCAGCATTTGAGTGTAAATGAGAAGCCCGGCCAAAAAGCTCTGGTCGGCTAAAGGGTGAATCAATCTTTTTGCATCTTGAAATTGTGCAGCAAAGGGGAAATTCACTCCTGGCACCGTTTGTGCTGCAGCAAAGTCCCCTCTGGGAGGATGCTGGCGATACCAGCACAAGCTGGTGCGAAGCCTCTGTAGCCCAGAGGATGAACTTTCCTCTCCTCAGTCATTTCCAGGTAGGGCTTTGCTGTGCAGCAGGGGCACAAGGATCCTGTGGGAACTTTCCCGCATGGACCCCCATCTCCTTTCCGGGGTGAGAGACCAACCCGAAGATGAGCCATGGCAGACAGGAGGCCGGATGGCTCAGGCTGAAATCCTGCTCTCCGTGGAAATTCCCAGCAGCTCCCAGCTTCATTTCCCACTGCAAATAGCTGAAAGTAAAGCATTTGATGGAGAAGGTGCCCTCAGAGCTCCTACAAACCAGGGCAAGCCTCCTTCCCAGTAATGTGGCTATCTGAAAAATATTTTCAGAAGGCAAAAGGAAATGCACCCTGATCACAGTATGTCAGTGGCAGACAGAGAAGACTGCATTTAGGAGCCAGCCCTGCTCCCACCCCGGTCTCATGCCGCGGGGGCTCAGTCGCGTCTGATGCAAAGTGCTCAGATCAGACAAAGCTGGGTCTGTTTATCTTGCAGTTTCCAGGGATGCTCAGCCATCCCTAATTGCCATAAAAATAAAAGCTTTTTGCTTCATATCACAGAACAGAGGAATTTCCCTCAGGTTTTTTTTTTTTTTTCCAGTTGGTTTGGGGTTTTTTCTGAGGCCTCCCTCCAAGGCTTCCCTCCCCTCTCCCTCCACGGTCTCCTGCCATGTAAACAAGCACCCGGCACACACAGTCTGACACATCACACACATGGAAACGCACTGATCCCCCCGCAGCAGCAAGCGAGATGGGGCTGGCAGTGGCACAGAGCAGCGGGAGGCAGGCGAGCGGGGAAGCGAGAGGATGCTCTCCCCGAAAAAGAGCTACGAGAAGGCGGTGCGCAACCTAGGAGAAGGGGGGGGTGCGCACCCAGGGAGAGGGGGGAGGCCCGGCAGGGCCCAGCCTCTCGCGCTGCAATAATGAAGCCAATGGATAAAATCTGGTGCCCAGTGTGAAGTCTCGCCCTGTGCAAGCCGCCTGTCTGGCACAGCTGCTCTGTGCCGCTGCCGGAGCGATGAGCCGTCGCTGCACGGACACGCAGGCCCGGCCTTCGCCCAGGGACAGGCTCAAATTTTCCCTTCGTCGTCTCGCTATGCTGGTACCTGACTTCTGGTGGAGCCTGCGTGCTTGCGACAGTCCCCGTGCTATGCAAGGATGGCCCTGAGTGGCAGCAGCAGCAGCAACCTACTGACCTGAAATGCAGCGCGTGCCATGCCCGGGACTCTCTGCCGTCGCTTCTCTCCCAATGAGCCTTTAAGGCAACAGCAGGGAGCTCACGGGGCCAGGGACACCCTTCACCTGGGGCCTGCCCTGGTGCCTTACGAACTCCCTGTCTCAAGGAGGAAGATGGAGCTGGGCTGCACAGACGGTGACTGCAAGGGCAGCAGCACATTGCTC